CATTGGTCGTGGCTGTGAGGACTGGCAGGTACCTTCTCGTCAGCGTTTGCCTCTGTCCCCGGCTCCTCCGCTGAGCTGGAGGCTGTAGACCCTGCGGAGGACTGCTTGGCAGCTCCCTGAGGAGAAGAGCTTGTCCTGGTTAGGAAGGAAAAAAATAAAAAATCTCTCCCTTTTTATCTCTCTTGTAGAATTTTGAAGATAATGGCACAGTTTTCAAAGTAAATAAATTGTTGTGAGAAGCAAAGGAGCCGCCTCTGAGCAAACCTACCAATCGTGCTGGTGTGAGCGGTCCAGCTGGCTGCTAGCAGGCGTTTCCTCCAGCTGGACATGGGGTCTCATGGGCTGGCGCGGTTGGTAAGTTTTCTCTTCCTACAGCTCCCATCGCTCGAGTCCGGTGGACGTTTTTTCCGCGTGCTCTGAGCTCACGATGGGCTCCGAGAACTCCTCAGAGTGCCGTCAGGGAGGACCTTGGGGATCTGGACAGTTGGTTGGGATGTGAAGCGCTTGGTCCTGGTGTCCTGGGGCAGGAATGAGTCCTGGTTGTGCTCGTTTGAGGAACGTAATAAAGGAAGCGGTTCTCGAGCCAGAAATCACTGAGGTTTTTGGTTGCTTTGTCCTTCTACGGGGGTGAAGGCAGGCAAGGAGTGAGGAGACTGTTGTTTCCAGTCTGTAGGGAGATGGTTTCCATACAGAACTGCAGGAGGAAGGGGAGGTGGCCAGAAAAAAAAAAAAAATAATTTTATGAATCGGTGCTCTTCAGTTGCCTTAAGGGAGAGTCCTCTTCCGCTTGAGGCTTGGCTGGGGTCTTACAGAAGAGCAAACTGGACTTGAACTGCTCAGCAAGTTCTTCGTGGGGCGTGAATAAGTGTGCAACGCAGAGCGGGTGACGGTTTCATGGTGCAAATCTGTGAGAGCGTGCTGGGGGGGGGGGAAGCTCCTGCCTCTCAGGAGGGCCTGTATCCCCCAGGGCCAATCCAGAAACATTCCCCGCAGGCAGTGACGGTCCCGCTCCCAGTTCCGTTCTGGGCAAACGCCTGGAGAGTGAAGCCGTGTGCTTTGGTACCTGCTTGGTTTCACTGTGCTGTAAGTAGGTTTACACCACGTTACACCCTCAGGATGTGAAACTGTCACCGCTGGACTCGGACATAAATTGTGCGAGTGAGAAACTCGCGGAGGGATTACACCGTGAGTGCGGCGACACAGGGCTTCTCCCCCAGTCATTATCCTTATTTATTTGTTCGGGCTAATGGGATCTCTCCTGGTATGTGTGTCTCTTTCTGGCCAGCTCAGCATTGCTCTTATTTGTAGTCAGGGCTGTTAATCCTCAGCAGTGCCCTAATTCTGCTGAAAGGGAGGGTGCAGCCGTTGAACTCAGGCAGCAGTACGAGCTGCCGGCTTTCTGGGAAGAAAGCGTCCTTTTATCGCAGGCCAGCTCGCTGGGTGCGAGCGTCTGATGCTTTCGTCTCCGGGAGGTTGCCACAGCGAGTGGCTTCAAGGGAACGGATGCCCTTCGCTAAGGAACGGGACGAGTAATTTCCATGCGATGCCATCCCAGGCGCCTGGGACTCCGACCTGACTCTTCCCAGGGATTTACGTGCTCGGTCGTAGCAGGGCAGTGAAAGAGCCTCCGTGGTGCCTCGAGAGGAGCCGTGGAGCCTGTGCTGGCGAGGGGCGAGCTGCCTGGCTTTGGGAAGCGGGCTCCTTGGTGACTTGGCCCGGGGCCCGATTGCTCGGTTTCTTAGCGGCTTTCTGTTTGGTGAAAGGCTTCGCGTTCCCAGGGAGGAGACGTCTGTCTCGGTCCATGCTGCGCAGGACAGCCGAGGGGCGCGGGGGGAGCTGAGGGCCTTCACCTCTGGTCTTAGGCGAGCGTTGACTGCATCTCAATTACCTAGAGGACTTTTCTCCCAGCCTTAAGCTGTATTAAGATGTGACGACCTGCCCCTGCATTGGGCAGCAACACGTACGCCTCCTGTCAGAACAAAAGAACCCCTTTATTCTCCCACTGCAGACGTGCCTTTTGCCCTGGGCTCCTGCAGTGGATGCTGCTTCAAGCAAGGTCAAGTTTGCCCTTTCTGAAGTTGGGTGCTGGCCCCGTTGCCCTCAGCCAGCCCCTGCCGCTGCCTCTTGCCTCTGTTGCCACTGATGCTGCTGAGCCTTTGCCACGCTGGGCTGCAGAGCGTGGAGTTTGCTCCCCTTGAAACAAACCCCACAGGTAGTTTTCCCCATCCGTGTAGTCCCTCGTCCAACCCTGGATCTGCCGCAGCTGCCCGGGCAGGAGCACGAGGTTGTTGAGCAGCAGCTCTGCCTGCGCCAGATCTTCTCTTCACCTACTCAGAGCCAGAGACCAGCGTTCTGCCGCGGTCCTGGGATATGGTTCTTGCCTGGTCCCTGCGAGCAGCAAAAAGCCGCTTGCTGTGTTTAGACAACAGTTAATCTTTGGCTGGTACGATGTGTTCTAAGCCGTCCAGGGCTTCGTATCTTCATCGTGCTACTCGTCCTCTGCCAGCGCTTCCCATCGCTCCTGCAGTCTGGGTATCTGTGTAAATACCACGGCGCTGGCTTCCCATCGGCTCGCCTGCACCAGGGCTGCGTTTCAGAGACGCCCTGAGTAAACCCCAAGCATCCGTACTCCTCAGACGGCCGTAATTCCCCATTTGAAGTCAGGACGGTGTCAGCAGCGGTAATAAAGAGTGTTCGAGCTCAGACAAGTTCTCCCTGGCACCTTGTCTAAGCAAATATTATCAAGCTATTGAGACATACAGCGACTGCTGGATGGGGGTCACAGGGCAATTTGCCAAAGGAAAGCGAGGATGAAACGTCCTTCTAGTCCAGAACAAAAGATTTAGCGAATTGTGAGGATTTAGGAGTCTGTTCCCCTGGCTCCACTGTATTAAGCCTTTAAAAAGAAACTCTTCTAGCTGCCTTGCTGTGATCGCTCTGTGGCGTTCGGGGCAGCAGAAAGGATGAACGTCAGAGATTGTGAGCTCCCGAGGAAAGCATCAAGAGAGGATGGCAGCAAAGCCGCAGGGATGGTGAATCGTCCCTGTCCTTGCAGCTGCCCCGCGGGGTGGCCCCGCTGTCGGAGGAGCTACGGCCGCTCACCCGGCTCTGCTGCTGCCCGGCTCTGCCTGCCGAGGCCCTCGAGCGACCAGCTTCTCCTCTCCCCTCTCCCATCGAAGCTGTAGGCTGCGTGGCCCTGGCTTTTCCAGGCACCTCCTGCTCTCCTCCCCGCTCGCCGTCGGCTTTTCTCAGACTCCTGAGGTCCTGCTGCCAACCAGCTCCAGCAGTTTTGGGTCTTTTTTTATTCCCTGAAGTGACCTTTTAATTACATAACGACTTACAAACACTCAGCACCGACAACATACCGAAATAATTGAAACAATGTTTTTCCAGCCTTGAAAAACACAATTCTGTACCAAAACTCTGTCCTTTGACATTCCCAAAGTCAGAAAGAGAAGCAGCGGGGAAATGGCGTGGGCTGGGAACCGGGGGGGCCCTGAGCTCTTGCCAGGCATGTCTGCCTCCGCTTTGAAGGGGGGGTCTGCAGGGCAGCGATGGTCTCTCAGCCCAGGGGAGGCCGTGGCTTCAGGTCAGGGATGTGCTGGGATGCAGGCAAACGAGCGAGGGTAAAGGAAAGTGCGGGGAGAGGGTGCTGTCAGATGACGATATTTCTCCAGCCCCTCTGTAAGCCCCCGGTGAAGGTGTGTGGGTGAGGTGTGGCGTTTAGGGCAATGCAGGGAGACGCCAGGAGAGTCCCTCGGGCATCGGGGCCTTGGGCTGGGTGCGCTGGGGAGCTGTGGTCCTTGGTCTTGCTGCTGGTCTTACTCCTCTGTCTCTCTGCTTCCTCTTCGCAGATCAAGAGACAGCATGGCTGCGACTGCTGCCGTCAGCCCCAGTGAATACATGCCGCCGGCCGCCTACACTGCCCAGGTGAGTACGGGGGCATCGGCGGGCTCCCGGCTCCCCGCGGGGGCTGAGGGACGTGTCCTGGGGTGCAGGACAGCAAACGCTGAGTCGTTCGGCCCCTCCTGCCTCTGCTATAGCCAGCATTGCCGCATCAGGAGGAGGGCTGGTCGCAGGACAGGCTGGGGACCTGTGCCCTGGACTTCTTCCCAGCCCTGATGCCGACTCTCTGGAGCGTTATTTCTCCTTCCCATGTTGTGTTTTCCTTGAGGACCTCTTGGGTCGCGTTAGGAGCTGATATCGCAAGGCGGTCTTGGAATTAAAACTGCATGAAACACTCCAGGGTGTGTGTAATGGGTGTAAATACCAGCAGACTTGCAGGGTATTTGCAGCTTTATAGAGGTTGTAAGAACACAGGTTCACAATTAAAAGGCAGTTGCCATCCTGATGGCTAAAGGTAGCATGACTAGGCTGAGCTAAAGGCACACGTGGTAGGGGTAATTAAGCAGTTCCCTTAATAAGGGCTGTCTCATTGGCATGGACTGGATTGCTTTCGATATTGTGTACCCTTTCCCTCGTTGACTCCATCTCCAGATGTTTGGCACAAGCCCCTGTCTCCAACTTACCCATCTCCTTCCTGGCTCCCCAGGACTCCCAGCCGTCTCCCCTTGCCCTCCTCGCAGCAACATGTAGCAAAATTGGTCCCCCCGCAGTGGAAGCCGCCGTGACTCCTCCTGCCCCTCCTCAGCCAACGCCTCGCAAACTTGTCCCCATCAAACCTGCTCCGCTCCCTCTGGGCTCCGGTAAGAACAGCATTGGGATCCTGTCATCGAAAGGGAACCTCTTCCAGATCCAGGGCTCTCAGGTCGGCACCTCCTACCCCGGGGGGCAGCTGGTTTTTGCCATTCAGAACCCAACTGTCATCAACAAGGGCACCCGCTCCTCCACCAACATCCAATACCAAGCCGTGCCCCAGATCCAGGCCGCGGGGGGACAGACCATCCAGGTCCAGCCCAACCTCACCAACCAGATCCAGATTATTCCGGGCACGAATCAAGCGATCCTCACCCCTTCCTCTTCTTCTCACAAGCCCGTGCCCATCAAACCGGCTCCGGCGCAGAAGGGGGGAGCTTCACCGGTGCAGGGCGCAAGCAACGTGGTCAAGTTAGCCGGCGGCAGCAACGTGACCCTTACCCTGCCCGTGAACAACCTGGTGAACGCCGCTGAGCCGGGCACGCAGGCTCAGATTCTTGCAGAGAGCCCCTCGAAGCCCAGCAAAAAGACTCGAAAGAAAGCCGTGTCGCCCGCCCAGCCCGCCGCCGTGGCCGTGGCCGAGCAGGTGGAGACGGTGTTAATAGAGACCACGGCGGAGAACATCATCCAGGCGGGTAACAACCTGCTCATCGTGCAGAGCCCAGGCTCCGGCCAACCGGCCGTGGTGCAGCAGGTCCAGGTGGTGCAGCCCAAGCAGGATTCACAGGTGGTGCAGATCCCGCAGCAAGCCCTGCGCGTGGTCCAGGCTGCCTCCGCCACGCTCCCCACCGTCCCCCAAAAATCCTCTCAGAACTTCCAGATCCAGACGACGGAACCTACTCCTACCCAGGTACCCCCTCCTCTGTCCGCCTGCGAGGTCCCTCTGCCCTGTTTCTCCTCCGAGCCCTCACCCAGGCTTTAGAAAGCCGAAGGGTTTTGGGAGCCACCAGACATTCTCAACTTGGCAGCCCCTTTAGGCATCGCTTGTGTGGATTCTCTGATGTCTAAGAAGGGCTGGGAGCGCAGCTGTTCCCTCTGCGTGGCTTTATTAAGCCTCTCTTGCTGTCCACCTGCTTTTGCAGGACTTGGAGGAGTGCAGCATCCTTGATCATGGGCCACCAGCTCGGGTTGGGATGACCCAGCCTGCCCAGAAGCTCTTGGGAGACAGAGGGAGGTGGGGGAGCGGGGCTCGCAGCCTGCAGGACGGTGTCTTTAGCGTTGCTTTCGGAAACCGTGCTGCAAGGCCAACGCAACCCTTTGCTGCTGTGCAAGGTCAGGGCCTTCAGATGCTCGGGCAACTTCTCCTGCTCTTCGGCTCATCACAGGCCCAGGTTCCTGGGTTGTGTGGGGAGGGCGACTGTCGCGGTGCAGGGGGGTCTGCCTGGTGACGGTGGCTGGTCTCATTCCTCTTCTCTCCTCCCATCAGGTCTACTTCAAAACGCCATCGGGTGAGCTGCAGACAGTGCTG